GCAACTCTACACACCTGCTGCTCCCCCACAGGGGTGCTTTTAATTCATGTTATCCCCCAGACATGGGTCCATAGCCACACGCCAGCCACTAGGTCGGAGCAGTCGGGGACGGGGGAATGCAGGTGGCTCCAGCCCAGCAGATGCCCTGCCCCTGAGAAGGAAAAGAGCAAGAAGGGTGTGGCAGAGGGGGAAAGAGGGGGGAGATGCCTCCCCTACCATGCCCAGTGCAGAGGAGTGAGGGGAGATGACCAACACCTATAGCAGGCCCAGCCGGGGTCGGGGAGGGGGAGTGAAGGGAGCTGACCCCCACCCATAACAGGCCTAAATGATATCAAGTTAGTTTGACAGGCTCTATTTTCCATATCCTCTACTGATTGGCATTGATTATCTCACCCTCTTTTAGTTCTTCATTAACCAAGTCCTGCATCAGCTGCTCCATTATCTTGCTCGGGATCAATGTCAGGCTGACAGGCCTATAATTACCCAGGTCACCCCATTTGCCCTTTCTCAATATTGGCACAAGATTCACTTTCTTCCAATCTCCTGGAACTTCCCCAGTGCTCCAAGACTCACTGCAAATCCCCATTACTGGTCCAGGGAGATCCTCAGCCAGCTCTTTTAAAACTCTTGGATGAAAGTTATCTGGACTTTTTGATTTAAAAATGCCTCATTCTAGTAGCTGCTGCTTTAACACCCTCCAGAGATACGAGTGGAATGATGAGACTGTATCATCTATTTTCCCCGCAATACAGAACAGAAACATTGATTGAACATGGGGTCTGCCTCTTCTGCATTCTTATTGATATTTCTACCAGGTTCCCTCAATATTCCCCACCTCTCTCCCCCTGTCTCACCATCTCACCACTCCCTGCTCTCCTACCCGCAAGTGGCTCGCAGCCACCTGGGCTAAAAACTCACTTGGTTTTACTAAACAAGAGCAGAGAATCCCAATCCCAAGTAGGCACCACACAATTACAAAGCTGTTTGCTTCGTCAATATCTAGGTACAAAACTTCAAAGTGCAGTTCCGATTTTAGACGTTTATTGGCAGGAGACACATGTTGCACCATCTGTGTGGGAATTAAATATTATAAATAAAACCCTGCCTTCTAGGTTGGTTTTTTTTTTAGGTCCACAGCATCACCAGAACCTTGAACAGCACTGCATGATAATTATAGAACAAATATGGTTTAAACTCCACCGTTTTCATGAGAAGGTTAAGAGGCGACTTAAGTACGTGGGGAGAGAAATTCTGACAGTCGAAGACGGTTTAATCTGCAAGACAAAGATATAAGGAGATCCAACGGCTGGAAGCAAAAGCAAAACAAATTCTGATTAGGAATAAAGCCCTTTTTTAAAGCCAAGGTAATTAGCCACCAGAACAACTTCCCAAGGGGCGTCATTGATTCTCCATCACTTGCAATGTTAAAGTCAGTGTTGGGCTCCACTTCAACCCGAAATTAAGGACTTGGTACAGGAATAAAGGAAGACAGACTGCCTTGTAGTAGGTCAGATTAGATGGCCATATGCTCCCTTCTGGTGTTCGAATCTATGAAAAATACTATGAAAATCAGCTGTCGCGAGACTCACAGAACCACTGAGGGTGGCAGCGTGACACCCCCAGCAGTCATGGGGAGGGTGGGTTGGGACTAGCCCCCTGCCCCAGAGGCAGGTCGCCCCAAGAGAGCTGTGAAGCCAGGCACCAGCATTTTTAGCAGCCAGAGGTTACCATTGGAGACCTCTGGGTCAGACAGGCCCTGTCCGACTGATCTCAGCCCCAGACCCCAGCTTTGAGTTCCGCGTTTTGAGGCAGTAACAGTTCATGAGGAGGCCTGGATTTGCTACCTTAACACCGGAGCTGCTGCAGCCACAGCTCTGCAGGGACAGGCCTCTCCCGGACAAGGGCCAGTCTCACCCAGTCGGGTTTGTAACAATGGTTGTTCGCACACGTCCCATTAACGCCAGTGTCACAACTGCCCCCCGGCCAAGGGCTCAGCCTGGGATTGGAGTCAGGCTTGTGGCAACTGTGGAGGCCCCTGCTGGGGCTATAATCAGGATTTACCTGGGATTACTCTAACAAAAACTCCCTCCAGCCAGCTCCTGCCAACCCGACCCTCCTTTGGAGTCAGCCCAGTAGGGAGGGCTTGATCCTGCCACAGCAGGGGAGGGGCCTTATATAGCAGTGTTAGGAGGTGGCATTGGGAGGAAAGGGGAGGAGTCACCTGAGGGGGCGGAGCTATAGCAGGCTTATGATGGGACCTGGCTGGGGGGAGCTTGGACCCCAGATACAGCAGTGGGGCGAGGCCAGGCGTCAGGCTCTGCAGACTCATCATGTCACTCACACTCGGGCCCCATGTAATAAGGTCTCTCTGCTGCCCCGAGAGCGAGGAGCCCCTTGTCTTGTAACTGGAAGCAGAGATGCTGGAGCGTCTGAGCATGGGAGGCAGGGCACCGCACAAGGCAGATCTGGCCCCAGGCCACGTGTCCCATCCCCGCCGGAGGGCCGTTGTCACAGTGGCTGCCTCACCAGCCCAACCCAAACTGTGCCAGGAACATCCCTGCCCCTTCACGGACACACATGGCCCCCTGCTCACCCAACTGTCTGCAGCCTCTGTGCTCTGAGCTTCCCCAGCAAGATCCTCTCCCTTGGGTGACTCCACCCATTTCTTTCCAGCTCCACCTCTTCACTCTCCTTTATGAGTGCAGAGTGGGCCCCTTCCTCCCCTATTAGGGGAGTCTGTCTGTCTGTCCTGGTTGGGAAGCTGCAAGGGCAGAGCCTGTATCCAAAGGAGAACATCTCACACATAGGAGTTGCCCCAGGGTGCACCAGAGATTTCCCCCAGCCCTGCCAAAATGGCCTCTCTGCGGGATGGTCTGTCTAAATTATTTGATGGGTGTATTCGCATAGAGACATAAACTGCAGCTTCTGGGCAACACAATCTGGCCCCAAGCTGTGTGGTGGGGGGCAGGGTAGTGCTGGACTCTCCCCTTGCTGCTGCCTGATCTGACTGTCATGGTCAGGGAACCAGTGAGATGGGAACCAGGAAGGCGACCTGCTCAGCAGCTAACAGAATGCTAGGAAGGAACCAGTAGGAAAGGGATAGAAAAGACAGTAAATATAATGCCAGGGGTGGCAGGTTTGTATAATTTTGGGGGGTGCCCAGAATGGGTCCAAGTCCTGCCTCCCCCACACCTGCGTAAGGCTCTGGGAGGGAGTTTGGGTGAGGGAGGGGTGCGGGCTCTGGGAGGGAGTTTGGGTGCTGGGTGTATTTGCATAGAGACAGGTTGTGACTTCCTGCTTCTTAGCTAATGGCTGCTGCTCTTGAAATATGGCTACAGGAAAAGGCCTTATCCTTCTAAGCTTTCTATTGATTTTCTTACATGATACCTTTTAGATACAGGCTATGACATTAAGTTGGGGTACACTGAACGGGTCAGGCCAGTTGAAACTCACTAGCCAATAGCAGTGAGCCTCTTGCATTAGGATGCTGCTAGGGTCACAGGAGGACGCCATTTTGTTTGTGCATTCAGGGGCCGGACAGAATTGTCCTGTGGGCATGACCAGTCCTGGAGCGTGCAATGCATGCCTTGCACACGACAGCATCCCTGTTGTAGTTGAGGGCTCCTACGCAGCTGGGGACACTGACAGGTTTGGGTGTGTGGCAGCGTGCAGAACCCAAAAGCACATCCTCCTCCCCTCTCCAAAGGCCACCTGTAGCTAGTGTGGCTCCCGATGTAGCCGAGAGCACGCTGTGCTCCAGCGACACTCGCAGCCAGCGCTGAGACGTCGTTCTAGAGATAGTCCCTTCCTGTAGAGTCCTACCATGGGCCTGTTCCCTAGGAGCCAGAGGCTGCATTTGAAATGGAGATACAGCCCATCGCATCCGCCAAGGATAAACCTATCCCCATTTGATAGTGGCTTTATCTCCTCTAGACCCTTTAATTAAAGGATCCAGGTTTGGTCTCCCTCTTCCAACCTCCCTGTCTATTTCCATTCTCCCTTCCCCTGTTTGAAAGGACAAGAGTTACTGCATCAAATCCTCTCTGGTGTAACGGCTGTGAATCCCCAGAGGTGAACTTGGCCCAGTATTCCCTGGGGGACAGCTTTGCTCCCCCATATCAGTGTAATTCTCTCTCTTGAAATGATTCCCGATAGAATCTGCCGGCTGCTCCCTGCCGCACCTTGTAGCTCTTGGCCCAAGGCAATGTCTGCTCCCAAGTGCTGTTGAGGATTCTGCTGCCCTGAGATACTAACGTCCTTCCTCGTAATGGTCAGAAATAAGGGTCTGGCAGGACCTGCTGCGGCTGCAAGGATGAAGCTGAATAAGGAACATTATCAAACAAATCTAATGGCGGTGTCGTTATTTAAATCACAGCATTTCGGTCACAGGAGTTGGAGCCCTGAAGGACCTGCTTCCTCTGTGTGCACGAATCACAAGGACTGAACTGGTCATAGAGGCCAAAACCTCTTTCCTGGCCTCTGCTGCATGCCCTGCGGGCTGGCTCTGTGGGAATACGGGGTCCACCAAGCAACAGCAGACCCCACAGCGCCTCGGAAGTGGGCCACACCAACAGAGGCCCTGGGAAGAGACATGGCCGGTGCTGCCTACTCAGGGCTGGCCAGTGACTTCATGGAGCACAAGGTCTGGGGGGGGGGTAGGAGAGTTGGGTGCATGGGGGAAGTTGGGGTGTATAGGAGAGTTGGGGGTGGGTGCAGGGTACTGGACCTGGCAAAGGTGTAGAGGGGAGAGCTGGGGAGGGGGGGTGTGGTCTTGGGGCTGTTGGAGCTTTTGGGGATGCTGTGGGGGAGGGGCAATGTGGTGGGGGAGTTTCTGGGGTGCTGT